AAAGTCATACACATTTCTATGTTAGTGCCGGTGAAAATAAAGATGCACATTAATTATTTTGCACACTACTTTTTATTATATCCCACTGAAAATCTCTTATTGGGGTGGATCCAGGTTCAAAGGGTGAGAGGAGGGGGGGGGGGGGGGGGGGACAGTTGACAAGGGGGGGGGGGGAGAGAGAAAGGGTCCTTAGCTTAAATCATGGAGTCAGGAGACAAGAGCAATTTTTTCAAGTCCAAACTTCAAACTAGTGAGAAAATGATTGTATAGAAAATAATAAATGCCGGTTTTTACAGTTAAGAAGTAGAAAACATCGCATTCATTTTATTAATGATACTGAATTTATATAAAATAATCATATCAATTCCTTCGCGCTCCTTTTGGGAGATCAACCGACCCGCGCGCATTTTATATTACATGACATATGGTAAAATTCTCGACATCTTTTTACACTTTTCTTTACCATTAAAAATCGAAATTGAGAATAATATCCTCAATCGAGATATGAGAAGAAGGAAACATTTCCTTTACATTCCATGTAAAACCATGCCCTTACTTGAAAAAAAACTCCGTCACTTTGACGTTGAACTTTACAATCCATTTAAAAAAAATTACTCTCTCATACACAATGTCAATGGATCGGTCGCACTGTGCTCGATTGCATTTCAATAAACCAATCTTTAACTTTGCAGCAACGCGTTTTGCGTCAAATTTGTAAATCCTCAATCACAGACAATGACATATGATACGTAAGCTTTTCATACATATAAATTTCATTTTGATTGATTCATTTTTAGCTCCGTCAATTTTCATGTCAAATCATGCTTCATGTCCCATTTTAGAAGCCCGACCCAGTGTTTTGTGCCAGCTAGCCCTGTATGCATGTACGTAATGCTATGCGTATACATATAACTGAACATGCATAAGTACAGTACATGTACACACGCAGCGCAGCGCGTACGAGCGCACTGCACTACATTTCATTGGGTCAGTACCATTATGAAAATAGGGGAACAATGAGTGGGATGGGTTTAGTGCCGTCACAATACGCATTACACGCGTACGTATATAATTAGAGCAATTTATGCACCCCCAAGAAATAATGAATACAGCCCGACCTCTCTACACACAGAACTGCACAGATACCGCACAGTCCGGTCAAGGCGGTACGCGTAGCGTTAAACTGCCAAATTTACAGAAATTGTGAGGAGCGCTTTTGCTATGAAAGGAATTGATATGGACAATATATTACTGTTTAAAAAAAAATCAATTTAATTTATTTGAAATGTTCGGTATGTGACTTTCATCTTCATAATCTGATAATGGTGAACAATGTATTATACGAAAGAATGGGAAAGAATTCATCGTTGTTTCTATCTCAAAAGGAATATTCTGCTACACTGTACCAACATTGTTTGGCACACATGCAGCCTCGTACTGCAAACGTATGAATATTCATGACTCTGTCGATGGTTGCGTGGTCGCGGAGAATGTTGATTTTTACACAAGACAGCACGGGACTCACGAATATGCACGACTTATGCCACGTCTCGCTTCCCGGAACAGCGTATGCTCTTAATTATGCATACGGATGCGCCTCATCCAATGGGGGCAAATGTAGGCCTACAAATATGCATACACAAGCCACGCCTTCGTGGCACCGGGAGGGCCCGTTCGCCCGGGGGTAATTCAGGCGGTCGGTCAAACCGTAAGAAACGCGTTAAAATGGAAGGACGGGAACAGTTTTAATACTAGCAGAAATAAACAAGGCATATGAAACAGTAGAACAATTAGAACGTTTCAGTTACGTATATATATATTTTTATTACAGTAAGAATAATAATACAATCTATCTTTAAAATAGTACAAATCAGACATAAAATGAATTAAATATATTAGCTATTTCTTATCTAGAAGAAAAGGACCCATGAACGGAATTATGCCTTTATTATTACAAATTCATATGAACATAATTAATAACTTTATACATCTATTCACCGAATATGAGGACATAACCCCCCCCCCCCCCCCCCCCCCCCCCCCACACACACACACACACACAAAAAGACACAGCATATTTGTTTTGTTTTGTTTCTGTTTGTCTTACTTTCCCAAATAAGAAAGAAGGATTCGTCATACACTTGCTGATTACTTACTGATTTCGACTTGCTTTTAGGCACAAAAGTGCTGAATATTGGTAAGTGATACACTCTCTTCAAAATGTTGCCATTATCAAAAATAACAAAAATACACATATCGCTTTAGCCCTTCAAGAGATTTTTTTAATTTTTGTTTTTCTCATCTCCTTTCTTGAGAGTCTCATGGCACAAATGCATCACGTCACCCTGTCACCATTGAAAAATACAGCAAAACTCTGCCCAAATCAGCCTTAATGCAACTTTCCATTTCATTTTACCCATTTATGTAGTTGTGTCACTCCACAGGGGAAAATATAATATATTAATTGCTCTGGAGAACCATTAGATGACTTTTCATAAACCAGGCTGACCAGAGTAAACAGATTTTAAAAAAAGCAGAAATACGAAGTTGCAAACCATCTGCAGACTCCTATTAATAAATTGCGATATTGGTTAATTAATTATATCATTACAAATCTTTATTTTCAGTTTTCTTAACGGATAACTGATTTTTCTTATGAAACTGAAGATAAGGCATATATATTCAATACTGACTTAACGCCATTAAACTATTACCAACAAAAACAGACTCTCTAGTCTCAAGTTGACATGGTGTATAATTGTTTTGATTTAAAGTAATCAAATATAGGATAATGCTAATATATACATGGTTATGACAAGCATATATAAAAAGACATTTTAAGAAAGAAATGCGTTTTTTCGATGTTTATTTACTTGAACACCTTTGCGGACTGGAGTGGAATGTAAAGAGGGCCGATCGAGCCGGACAATTGCAATTAACTAACCTATGCAAGCATGTTATCATATTTTGTTAATTTTCAATGGGATGAACTTGGATTCGAAACTTATGACAGTTTTTACTAAAAGCTCCCTGGCTATTAAAGCTTATCTGCCATAGTTTACAGGACGGATTAGACCGCCCTACAAGGTCACTGGACAGGTGGTTTTCTCATCAACTCAGCTCTAAGTTAACATAAGAAAAAGAGGATCATGGGGGACCAATGGTCACCGATTAGGCATTGTTTGTTGCATAGAGGGCGCAAGTAGCTACAAGTAGTGCAGTGGGCCTTTAAACAAAAAAGGAGATTTCAAAAAATAAAATACCCCGGTAGTGTCACTATAATAATAATGATATTGTTTACCCAGGGAAGCCTCACCAGCTTCAATGCTGTTCTTCCTGGGTTCTACACCCGGGTGGAGGGTGGCAAATCTGGATTAATATCTTTCCAAAGGACGTTAGCGCCGGGCTGAGACTCGAACCCTCTACCCTTGGATTGAGAGTTGAGCGATCAAACCACTATACCACGACACCTCCATTCTTCCCCCATTCATTTTGAACTACAAGGAAAACTTCAAAAAATTTGAGACAACTTACACAGAACCTCAATAAAATATTTGTTTAATGATTGAAAGATGATGCCAAATAAACCTAGGACAGCGTCTCTGCATATAGACATTATATGCAAATTCATTACATGTAAACCCTTTAGCATATGGCACAAAAATCACAAACCAAACGTTACATCTTAGTACTTGCACAAGCACTTCCCAAATGTATAAGGAAATTATAGGATATACACAGGAATTTCATAAAATTTACAGTTATTCAATTTAGAAAAATTACAACTGAAAACACAAGAAATAATAAATACATGATATATACATAATTTGTGTAAAATAAGCAATTTAATAAATTTGTTTATTTACCAAATACGGAGATGTTCATTGTGCTTGAATGAATTGATCATACATTTTGTATCGTACATAAGAAAAACTTGCCCCTAACTTAATATAACGAGGGCGCTGTTGCAGAAATATGGAAACACACACTGAAGGAAAAAGAAATGCAGATATGTCAAGCTCTATACAATTTTTTTTATAGGAATCCAATCAGCATCATATCTTGTAGAATCACAAATATTGCCATGTGGGCGGCAAAAGGAAGTTCACACACGTGTATACCATATGCAGCAAATTTCCAGTAACCCACTTTGCTCTACATATTCTATACATGGTACACCTTCACATAAAATGAGAGTGACTAAAACGAGTTGAAATGGATTGGTACCTACCTAATTTGAGAAGTTTGGTGTCCAATAATCACATTTTTGTTCTTAAGTTACAGCCATTGTAATGCTAATGATCTTCTGCTTACCGGTAGTGCAGTATGAATGGTCAAATGATTACGAATAACTAGATAAGGCACATATTATTACAGATGACGCAGAATAAATGCAGAGTTAATCTTAGTGCTGTACATGGGCGTATAAAATAAGACTATTAGTGCGAAGTCTATGGAAACAGAATTACCCTTTGCTTTGTCCAACGTGTAACATTAGGTGAATGCATGTTGTTAACTGAGTTACATACATTAAATTGATTTGAAATGCCTCTTGGCAGATGTGAAACATGTGCTTTGTGCATTATAAATATTAATAAAGGGCGATTCCATGCAATGTGTCCCATACGACATTTGACAATTGCCCATACATTTCTTCCACAAATGGTAAATATCTTGATACAGTATTAACAACTGTGAGTAGTTGTAGTGATAAGAGAAAGCACTACTCGATGCAATATGAGAGAAAAAAAAAAATTAGGGGTCGTATGGGACAAAATTCAAAGAATCGCCCTATACCGCTGCGGCGGCTAGCGATCCCCACCCATAAGACCTTTTAGAAAAAGACGTTGTATTGCCCTTTGCGACCTACAAAAAAAAACTTGAAATCTACGGTTGGTTTAAAAAATTTAAACAAAAATGTTTAAACCTTTTTTTAGAAAAAAATGTATCAAAGCATTCAAAACTGAGAAATATTAGCCAAAAGGAGGAGTAAAAAAAAAAAAAAAAAAAATCTGACCGACCAACCCATGTTTTGGCACCTACAGGGCAATACAACATCTTTCTTTTTTTGGCATAATTATGAGGTACCATATTTTGGTTAGTTGATCCTCTTCATGAACAGCTCAGATACTAAGAGCGTAACCATTCAGCCAGGCAGACAACTTTCATCGCCGTCTTGTGCCACCAAAACCTGCAACATGATAAAAAAGAGAAAGAAAAATAAGACATTAATTAGACACTACAGGATAATGATAACAAAGAGAAAGACCTGCAGAAAGAAGAGTAACAAAGAGCAGTTTAAAGGGATCGTTTAGCAATGTTAAATCTGAGATGCATGACCCTACATGTCATCAGTGTCTGTGATATGGTTTAATATTGAAGCCCTAAAAAAAAATGTGCTTCAAAAGTATCATGAAGTGCCTTAAAGGTAAAGACCAGTTATGGTCATGCGATTGCATTGTGAAAGAAACGTTGTGGAATCGATCAGAAAAGGTTGATCATCTAGCATCTAGCATCTGCAAGGTTCTGGAATCATCAAAATGATAAGAAATTTGGCCCATTCTTTGTAAAGTTACAAGTACTATACACAGAAAGATGTATATGGGACTACCCTATATCTCTCACAGACCATGAGAGAAACAAATTTACCAAATATATGAATTAGTAGGCGGTTTCCGGCAAATTTTTTATCATCATGTATTAGTCAAAACATATTCTTTCACATGATTGGTAATGAGAGCTTCCATTTCATTTTTTGAAATTGGGGCGTTTCCAATACTGGTCTTTACCTTTAAACAAGTAAAAATCTGGAGTGACCGGTTTGACCATACTCGTTTTACCCAATAGACTGTAGTGTTATGAAAAACGTTAGGAAAACGCAAAATTTGATATTGATTTCCAATCATAAATATCTTGATAATCAGACAAGCGATCCGCTTGTGAAAGTCATGGGGTTCCTGAATGACCCAAAGGTTTATAACTATCATTGCAGCATGAGCTAAATCCAGGATTTTGTTTCAGAATCTGAGACAAAGTTACCCAATCCCTTTAAAATAATACTATGGTTGCTGGAAACTCAAAGAAATAACAAATTAAAAGAAATGTCTTGAATACTGACCTGAAGCAGTTCTTGTGCCTGAACTTCCCCCACCGCCGCCGCCAAACCCCGAGAACCCTCCTCCACTCCTACCGCTGCCACCCCAGCCGGAAGAGAAGCCGCCGCCGTACCTTGGTGTAGAGTAGCCGCCACCATACCTAGGTCTTCCATAACCTCCGTATCCTCCGTAGCCACGACTGCAACAACAAACAAAGATTGATCAAGGACCTGTTTCACAAAGCCTTTTTTCAATGATAAATGACAAAAATCAGTGACAAATCTGCTGATAACCAATAAGATGCAAGGATGTCACTAGCTTATAACACAAACCGTCATTTGTCAATGATGACAAGTTTTGTGAAATGCCCCCCCCCCCCCTCCCCTGGTTAGATCACCGTTATACAAATCTTAGTAGGCCTGTCTTCATTAGCTCGAGTTTGCCAAATAACCCGCTATTCTAACTATCCCGATCGTAAACTAACCATTTAATTTGCGTCCTCATCAGCCCGCAGTTGCAATTAGCGTGAAATTTGGTCGAGAAAATATTCCAAGAAATCTTGGTCTTGTTTCCAAAATATCCCGCTATTTGGGATAAAGTGGGCTAATTTGCGCCCGTCGGAGCTAGTTTGTGGTGAACGTATCAGTCTGGTGAAGACGCAATATGAAGTTTCAGGAATATCCCAAGTCTGAAAATAGCGGGTTAGTTGGCAAACTCGAGCTGATGAAAAAAGGCCTAGTGCGAGCAGGGCCCCCACACCATGAACCATCTTTCGCAGTGGCATGCTGGATGACACATGACTGATAGGGACCTGGCAAAAGCCAACAATGTAGCTCTAAGTTTTTCTGGATATTGGGTAATAGTTGTTTTACAGATGACTCAAAAGGATGATGACTAGATTTAAAGACAATGAACTTAAAGCAGTAGGAAAGTAAACAAAGGTATGAACCACATGTGGGAGGTTTGGGTAAGACATGTTGGTGTCAATGAGAAAATGGGATGTTGATCGAATGACAATTATCAGGTCTTTAATAGCCCCAATAGCCTCTGTACCCATAGCCACTACTGGAACACCACTAATTGATATAAGTAAAACACCATTATTCTAATCAAACTAAGCCTCTCTAGGCAAGGAGAGGTTAAAGATTAGTTTAATACATTGGTTTTCCATAACACCCGTAAGAATCCCAACTTAATATCAGGGAGGACTTCCCATTGAAATACCCCAAGGCTTAGTTTCTGGTACACATATTCATGGCATTACATTTTAATACTCTAGCTATGCAAAATTAATGAACTTACTTTCTGTTGCCACCAAAGAGATATCCCAACAGTCCCCCTGCAGCTGCACCTGTCCAGAATCCGCCCCCTCCTAGACCCCCTCCAAGACCCCCTCCAAGACCCCCTGCACCGGTTCCTGCACCCCTGCTGGCTCCTGAAGAGTAGCCCTGGCTTCCACCGCAGCCGGCTCCTGAGTATCCATTGTCCCTGTAGCCTGGGGGAGGGGGTGCACCACCACCACCACCACCACCCCCTGGGCCAAAGCCTGTACCTCCTGGACGAGGGTAACCATCGTCAGTCCCTGCTGTCCCTGATGTAAGAGTCGGTTAAGGGGTCTTAACAATTCTTCCATAACATGAATTATACCAATAGTTTTCTTCTTTTTTTAAATGGAAAAAACAAGAGGCTTTTCACAAGTTCTCTGACTTCCTTGGCTCAATATTCAGCAGGCTATAAAGCATATTTATCATCATTTGTACAAGTAGGAGTAGTAACTTTTAACATTAGTATTATTACTATTGTTATGATCATCATCATCATCCTCATTATCATGAGAGCTGGTAGAAGTAGATCTATTACTACATATAGTACTTATAGTAGTAATCGTATTAGTAGTAGTAGTAGCAGGAGCAGGAGCAGCAGTATTAGTAGTGCAAGTAGTAGTATAATTTGGAATAGAAGCAGTACATGTAGAACTAATAGTTGTTTGACACTGCTTATAAGTATCGGCTTGCATGGTGATGTAGATATACAGTAGGCTTGGGTTAATTTGCACCATGTGAGAGAGGGGATTTAGAACTAGTATAAGCTTAAGAAAGATAACCAACAGTCCTTTTCAGGACTGCACACACTCAAGAAAGAAAGATTACTGAGAGTCCTTTTCAGGACTCCCTAATCCTCCCCCCCTCCCCCCTCTCTCACATGGTGCAACCGCAAGCCTAATGTATAATAGTCAAGACAGGCTACAAATAGCAATGTTGACCGTGAGTGTAAAGGATATTCTGTGGGTGTATTGGCTATGCATGTTCTATAAATCACATACATCAGGACTCCAACTATAGCAAGAAAGAGCCAATCCACCTTGCTCGATTTCTGCTGACTGCAAAATGAAGAAAAAGGTTTTGATCAAGACAAGTTAATATAATGGGTACTACAATTTATTTATTCCAGAGATGCCATTTAGAATCAATCAGAAGGCCTGAAAATCACATAGAATGAGTTATTTTGTACCTAAAAAAGGCTGAATCTATGACCTGGACTTTTTTACCAGTGCCTGAATTCAGGCTTTTGCTTGAAACCTGGTATCTTTGTTATGCTTTCATTTGTTTTATTTAAACACGATAGAACAAGCTCTCTATCACTCTCTCAGTATTTATGTAAATATTTTTTTGAGAGACGTGTTTTTGTATATTAGAGATCACAAGATATAATGAGAGAGAATTGAACAAATATAAGTACAAACGTAACAACCTAACAATTCTTTTTTCTTTATCTTAGGATATTAAACATGTTTTTGTTTCTAATTTTGCATTGCAGTTCTAAATACATGTAAATATTGTCTTTCAAATGCCGTTGAAATTCAACCTTTCATTTTTGTTGACAGGTCTGCAAATAGGAAATAGTACCTTTAACAAAGAATTATGCATATTATTTGATTAAATTACGAAAATGGTCTTTAGAGCCTATGCCTGCAGACTAGCTCTCACCTGTGGTTGTAGGTGTTATCGTATGACCCATCGTCTTTGCCATAGTAACTGTGAGCGTTCCCTCCACTGTTCTTTTGTTGCATTCCCTCCTTGGTGTATTCAAGTGTGAACTCCAACTGCAAGGTTAAAACAGTGAACATGCACGGACGTGTTTATGATCTGAGGACCTTTGACCTCAACATTTGTAACACCCAAATTTATGTAAGCTCCTCTTTTCATGCCATACAGTACATTTTTTATATTGTACTTGAGCCAGGTTGTATTGTTGTTAATGAATGAGACTAGGATTCTAATTTGACTCTGTGTTATGTACATTTTTGTTCATTGATCAATGTTCATGTAACCTGATCATTTTAACTTACAAACCAGATATAAAGACATTAAATGTTGTTTGGGTAACTTTCCATGATTTGCGACCCAATAAATAAAGGCCCCGAGTTAGGCCACGTAGTCCCCTCATGCCACTTTAAGTCTTTGGTTAGTGCAGGAAATTCACACAGCTCAATCATCGCAGGAGCACATGTCATATAACCGCTCAAAAGACCCATCAAAGATGGAGTTGCCAATTTGCATTTGATTATTCACAACTTACCCCACACGATCCCCTGAGAATGTATTCATCGTCGGGCGAAGAGTATCCCTCACAAATGACCTCTATCTTACCAAAGCGATACGCATTGTCCATGTCACTCTTGCATTCCCACTGGAAAAAAAACCACGAAAAAAAAAGTATAGATTTAATTTTTTATTTTGGCTCATTTCATTTCCTTGAACTAATCAAAACTAATGTACATGTACAAATGTTATTCATACCTGCCAACCTTTCATTGGAAAAAAAAGAAGCAATTTCTCACTGCAATATTAGGATTATGGTCTATATTGTATACTTTTTACACTAAATATATCAACATGAGCCTGCAGAGGACTGGGGCCGTTTGTCCCCTGGTTGCTTACTTACAAGTGATTACATGCTAAAGCAGTCAGACCTGCACAACAAAAAACAAACAAACAATTACCTGAACGTCGTACCCGTCTGAGCCTCGGTTGTAACACTGTACTACTTGAGGTGTAAATGCTTGGGCTGCTGAACCCCCAACACATTGTAGCTGCAAAGAAAATATGTAATGAATTTAGAACATTTCTTCCGCATATCTCTCTATTCCATATCCTTATCTGTACATAAAATTACAGAAATATTTGGCCCGTTTCTATTGCAGAACATTGTGCCACCCATACATGTATGGTATGTAAGAGCATTTCAATAGAAAATGATCATTTAAGTGTATAAAATGACAACACAGTGTGAAATTTCAGATCACCATTGTTGCGTACAAATTCCTTATTTCATTTTTTTTTTCAGTAACCTTCATTCACACTGTTTCACTTAAAGATAAACTTTAGTACTGGTAATGCGATTGCATTGTGAAAGAAAAGGTGTGGAAAGGATCAGAAACAGTTGATCATGTAGCATGAAAGTATTGGTGTGCACTGCAAGGTTCTGGAATCATCATAATCATAATAAATTTGACCGAGTCTTGGTAAAGTAACAAGCACTCACATAGAAAGCTATATATGGGACAACACACATGGTGTCGGGGCTAGTACTACCTTGATTTCCTTGTCTTTCTATGCTCATTACTCAGCCAGTATACATTTTCTTCCAAAATTGTTTGGCACATGTCATTTATTTGTAATCTTGAACATTCAGTGTAAGTTTCGTTTGATTCTGCGAGAATTATTATTTTTTTTTTACCAGTACTGGAGTTTATCTTTAAAATAAATCTTAACCTATAAAAAATGGAAAATACAAATAATTGTTGCCAAATTGAGGAGAAGCAGATCCATTGAGACCTTTAGAACTGCTGTGGGTAAAGATCCAACACACTCATTGACTACATCATACCTGTTTATCTGGGCTAAATCTTCCTGTCATCGACAAATAATTGTTGCCAATTTGAACAAAACAAGTTTTATTGAGACCTTGGCTTTAGAAAACTATGAACTGCTATGAAATAAAGATCCAAAGAGTTTATTTACTGCATCGTACCTGTTTCATTTGGCTAGTTCTTCTTCCTGTCGTCGAGAAATAATTGTTGCCAATTTGAAGAAAGGCTGATTCATTGACACCTTTAAACAACTATGAGCTGCTATAGATTAAAGATCCAACACATGCATTTACTGCATTGTACCTACATTTAATTGGGCTGGATCTTCTTCCTGTCCTCGACAAATAATTGTTGCAAATTTGAGGAAAAGCAAATCCTTTGATACCTTTAGAAAACTATGAATATGAGCTACATGGATTAAAGATCCAAAGAGTTGTTTTACTGCATCGTACCTGTTTAACTGGGCTAGATCTTCTTCCTGTCGTCATCTTCCCATGGTGGAGGGTGAGAACGGAGATTTCTTCAAGCAGTACTTGGTCACTCTTTCCTAGAAATAGAAGCATTGGAGGGTTGTGTTATCAGGACATTCACAACAATAATGATATATAGATCTAGGCCTAGACCTAGAATCTAGTTCCATTTTGCTTTTGGATTTAACAAAAAAGTACCATTGCACATCACTAACTTGGACTAGAGTTCTAGGCCTAGACTAGACCGAAAACTTCAGTCTCTCTAATCGTCGGTTGTTCCACTGAGACTACGTCTGGCTCCGATAAACCTCCAATTATAGAGACTGAAGTATGGCCTATCGGGACTGTACGGGACTGTACGGAACAAATGGTTCGGTTCGACCAGACCACGATGAATGAAATAAGCAACAAGATTTTCACTCTTTACATCCTCATAACTGCTGCAATTATAATAAAAATAAAAAACAACATAACGGTATATGGCTTATTTGACTTACGATAGCTTGCTCATTTAGATCTTAAATTAATGATTAATCCGAGAAAGTCTCGTCAACATTATCCGTCTTCTTGGTTTTAGTTGATGAATATTCATTTTTTCTTTTCTAACGTCCAATAGCTACCGTAGCTAGGTACGAGTCAGGCCGGCTTGACCAACGAACTCCCACAAAACGAGTGCTCTGATTGGCCATTGGCTATATTTTGGTAGGTTGACCCGGAAATATATCGGCCGCCGGGTCATATAGCTCTATGTTCGAGTGCATGAACGTACTGTTTCACAGTTCTGAGATACAAATTGGATAATTCATATAAGTAATTCCGTAAATTATGCATTTAATATTAAGTTATCAAATGTTGATAACTGTAATTAGGACAAATGACATACCAACCTAATTTACATCTGATTTAGAAATCAGAAAATTAGATCTAGGCCTAGATCTAGATCTAAATGAAGAAAATCAGGGAGAAAATGTCATACATGTACGAAAAGTTGTAGATCTACATCGCTGGCTCTAGCTACCCCCACGGTACAAGATCTCTGGGTTACCGTCTGTATTGGGGAATGTCAACAAATATCAGTTTTATTAAAGAAACGACCCAAATCAGACGGTTATTTCTGTCTAGGACTAGGCCTAGACCTGAATCTGGCTCCGCTGCATGCTGCTGTACTGACCGCCTACATCTATATCTGAAGGTTGACATATGTCAATTGTATAAAAGAATTATCCACAGTTATTTCTGTCTATGCTATGCCTTAATCATAGTAAGCCCACCAGCAACCCTTACCTATTTATTTAATTTTTAATTGTTTAGGGGCCTACTCTTTTGACTTTTAATTTGTTTTGGTTCCTGATCATGCTGATTGCAAACAAATCATCAGATGAACATCATAAAGCATGAATATTCGTTATATTATTAACAACACAGCTACCTTAAAGAGAAGGTTGAGTTCTGGGAAGAGGTGGAAAATAATATGTGAGCATTACCATTCTTAATCTTATTATGCAAGTGTGGAAGAACATCAGATAAGACATGTTCCCTGAAAAACATGGCTCTTCAAATGCCTTCATATTCTAAATAGATCTAGATCTATGTCATGTAACATCGTAAAATCGGGGGTAGGATTTTTAAGCCACGTGTTCGTGTAGTCCCATATACATCTTTCTATGTACAGTGTTTGTAACTTTACCAAGACTTGGCCAAATTTCTTATCATTTTGATGATTCCAACCTTGCAATACACACAAATTCTTATTGTTATATGCTATTTGCTACATGTAGATGACCAACCTTTTCTGGTCGATTCCACACCGTTTCTTTCACAATGCAATCGCATGACCAGAACTCAACTTCATCTTTAACTTTATAATACCATTAACAAATGATTTCTGACTTACCAAACCCGAATGCTGCTTCCGTTAAGTCAAGCACAGAAGCTACAAGTACAACCACAATCGCAAAGGCAATACACTCAGATGCCTTCATTGTTGTCCCGTCTACTGAAATCTCTGCAGTGTTTTAACATTAATTTTTGTAAATCAAAAATGCTCCTTTCTCGGAGTCCGAATGAGATAACGCTTCGCTTTCTAGATGATTTCAGCTTTCAAGAAATGGATAATTAACTTGGGAATTTTCACTTTACCCTAGAATTCATTAGTCTTGCAAACTTTAATTCCAAAAGGATCTCTGAATAATGATTTTTGTTTCACAAACCCAAAATAGTCTACGCCTAAAATACGTCAACCTTGGTTATGGTACGCTGCAAGGAGATTCAACGTAAATGGAAAACAAATACATTGCTATTTTTGGCACAATACATAATCAATAGTACATTATGTGACGTGTACTAAACTATGGTAAGCCATGGCTCGGCTGATGCAATTGCCTTTAGATTTGTGACGTAGGCAATCGTTTGTTGTTAATGTTATTGTATTTGTCATTGTCTGATTGTTTGTTTGTTGTTGTTCTTTCTTTCCCTTTTTCGTTGATTTACAAATCAGCGGGGTAGACAGAAATTCTTATTTTTTTGTAAAACATTATAAACAGTTAAAAACTAAAAACTATTGTATTCGGGGAAATATGATCGACAGGCCGGGTGAGCTTTATATAGTTAGGACGGACGGACCTATACAACAATGATATGGTGCTGATTGTAATAGTAATGAATACTACTATACTACTATACCACTACTATACTTAATATACTGTATACTACTATACTATACTATGCCAACTACATCACTGAGAGGCAGCACTATCTCGGGGGGGGGGGGGGGCACTGAGTCACCGCGGCCCTCGTTGAAGTACCCCCAACAAGTGCCCTCTTTTATTTCAGATAAAGGCCCCCCTTTTCTTTCTAATAAGTGCCTTGTCAATATTCCTTTAAGTAATTTAAAACAAATGATTCATCGGGCGAATCGCAATGAATCATTATGACTGTGTATCTCTTCGCATCCGAGGAGCCCTAAATTATCTGTTCCCCTTGCAATTTCCTTTATAGACAATATTGAACACTCTTCCATAACATTCTCTACTTCCACCATCATCATAACATTCCGAACAGGACGACCCCTCCCCCCCCCCCCCCCCCCCCTCTCTCTCTCTCTCTCTCTCTCTCTCTCTCTCTCTCTCTCTCTCTCCAGTTATGTTGCTGTATATAACTCCTCTCTACCCCCCTCTCTCTCTCTCGCTTTCTCTCTCTCTCTCTCTTTCTCTCTCGCTCTCTCTCTCTCTCTCTCTCTCGCTCTCTCTCTCTCTCTCTCTCTCTCTCTCTCTCTTTCTCAATATAATTGTTTACAGAGGCGGCGGAGCGACTTCCAAAGTGTGGGGGGGGCACCAACAAATAAGGGCACCTTCTGGAAAAAAGGGCACCTTCAAAGCGAAAACATACAATTTTGTAGACATTGCAAGCCCCCTATATATTGTGATTACATTAAGGGATGATTTCAATATTTGTCTCTCTTTATAATTATATAAGATATTGCTTAAGCATCATATTCTGCAGTTGGGTGTGATGGTCTGAAAATTCATTTGAGAGCGAGGCAAACTTAAAAGATTTGTGACGTCGCATTACGAAAAATTACATCCTATAAAGAGGAAAAAACCCAATCCTGGTGACTTGGGGTTATAAGCACATTCTCAAAACGGAAGACTGAAAAGAACTTTGATAAGTTACATAATTAAAATATCTCTAACTACGAGCGAGCGTAAAATTGCTCTCAGTCGCTTAAAATTAGGGGCACGTTATATATGAGAGGAAAAGGGGACACTTATCAAAGGGGTTAATACACTTATTTAAAAAAGAAAAGGAGCGCTGTCAAAGTACGAAGACTAATTATCAGAGGTGAAAATGGGGCACTTCTTACACCAACAAAAAGAGGCACGCACCAGGGATGATGAAAAGGGATTTTATGAGAATGGGAAATGGGCATTTGTCGACGGAAAAGAGGCACCCATCAGATTTTGATAGGGGCGTTCATAAGAAGTGTAACGGGACATTTTATCGCATCTGAAACCGTACATGTAAAGAGGCACTTATGAGAATGAAAAGGGGCACTAATGATAAGGGGAAATGTGCATTTGTTGAAAGAAAAGGGGCACCGATCAGATTTTAATAGGGGCATTTATCGGAGGTGAAAGGGTGCTTTTATGAATAGGGGGAAGGGGCTCTAAAAAGAAAAAGAGGCACATGTTAAATTAAACGGGGCACTTATCAAAGATGACAAGGGGTAAGTATGAGAATGGGAAGGGGCAAAAAGTAAAAGAAGCAATTATTAGGAAGGAAAAAGGGGATGTGTCAACATAAAATAGGCATTTATAATAGATGAAAAGAGCACTTATCAGAAGGGGAAGGGGCACTTGTCAAAGTAAAACGAGTATCTCTCAGAGTTGAAAAGGGTCATTTACAAGAGATGAAAAGGGGCATTTATAAGAAGGGAAAGGGGCTCTTTTTTAAATGAGGGTACTTATCATAAGGAAAAGGGACACTTATTAAAAGGAAAGGGGCACATGTGAAAATATAAGGGAAACTTTTTACAAAGGAAAAGGGGAACTTGTCAAAGTAAAAGGGGAACCTCTCAGATTTGAATTGGGCGATTATCAGAGTCGAAGGGGGCACTTATCAACAATGAAAAGGGGCGCTTCTTGTACCTCAAAAGGGGAACTTACTAGAGATTAAAAAAGGCACTTATTAGCATGGAAAATGGACACTCATTGCAAAGGAAAATTGGAACTTGTTAAAGGAAAAGTGGTACGTGTCAAAATAAAAGGAGGACTTAATATTAGAGGTGGAAAGGGAAAGGGGCACTTTTAAAATTAATAGGAGCACTTGTCAAAGTAAAAGAGGCTCTTTTCTTATGTCCAAATGGGCAATTTTTGGGTACTTGAAAAACTTTGGGGCACTGAGCCCCCTGCCCCCCCCCCGGAGCACCGCCTCTGATTGTTTGATCTCTCCCTACCCCACTCTCTACTTCTCTTACTTTATCCTTCTCACCCTCTCAATTTTCTCTTTGCCAATAAAAATGTCTGCCTAACACTCAATTTTCTCTTCTGTCACATACTCCCTCCCTCCATACCTCTCCTTCATGCTTTCTCTTTGTATATAACTTTCATTCGTTTTTTTGTTTCGTTCTTTTTTCCCCACATTCAATCTGTCCTACCACCCCCCCCCCCTGCCCCCCGCCCCTCTCGCTCTATATCTTTGTTTGTATGTGTGTCTTTCTTATTCCCCCTTTTTTTTCTTCTCTCTTTCTCGTTATGCCTAAATTTTCCTCTGGTTTCGGTGGACGGCGTGCTGTGCGATATGGAGCGCGTCTGGTTGAGAACAAAAAATATAAACAATTTCTATTTCCGACTTTTTCTGAGTTGGTCAGATATATAAGAGAGAGAGAGAGAGAGAGAGAGAGAGAGAGAGAGAGAGAGGGGGGGGGGGGGGAATTAGCTGATCTTTTCCATTTTCTCCATTCCTTACCGTTTATTCACCTCTACAAACAATTTTTTCTCACCCGTCTCTTCATGCTATCTTTTCTCCTTTTCCCATCCTTCACTCCACTTTTGGCCTGTTTTATTTTAATTTATGATGAATCGGTAAACGACATTACAAATGACATGCACATATTATTCATATTATCATCATCGTTTATTATTATCATCATCATCAATATCAATGATTATAACTTTCCATATTTGTTAAGGTAATTTGTCATTTTGTATCGTATGAGCTTTATGAAGTTCTCAACATAAATCTCGGCATCAAAAATGATATCGTCCTACACATTTGGTCTTATCGAAGCACTAATTAATATAATAACCTAATATAATTATTTGATGAAACATGCAATAGTGTCGGTAACGTAGCTTTGATTTTCAATCAACTAGTTTAAAGACAAAATGACAAAGCCAAATAATTAGATTATACATCACGAAGAAGAATACCTTTTCCATCATCGAGACTTGACATGCAATAGCACAAAACTACTATTCAGGCATTATATGGAAAAGGTTAATTTGGACCAACAGTGCATGGGAAAGGGCTTTTATGGGCGATAGTGACAAAGGGCTACTTCAGACAATAGTTCAAAACAGATATTTGGGCCAATAGTGAAAAGGGGCCAAATTGGAAGATAGCAGGAAGGGCCATTTTTAGCGAAAATGCAAAGGGGCTGTTTCGGGCAATAGTACAAAATTACTAAAGCGATAAATGAAAGGTGCGCTATTGAACCTGATACATAGAAAGGCAGATAAAACGGTTATCTTGTGAAATTACAAGATGGGTGAGAATAATTGCTGATTATAACTGTATCATCAATGAATTATTCAAAAGGTCAGAGGTTATATGATTTGCACACGTGATTTATACGGGAGTGTCAGGTGATGTGGATGGGTTGTGTTCACAGATGTAGGGATAACTATCACCACATACTTCGTCATTCATCTTGACCCCATTGAACAAGACACAGTCTTCGCCGCTCCACATGTTGGTCAAACGATGGTCATCGTCAGGCTGGTCCTGGTCCCACATGGTGTTATCGGCGAGGACTAGACCATCGACATCGGTCCAGCGGTACGTCCCTTCCTCCGCCTGGTCATTCAGACCGGTCCACATCCACGAGAGCGACCCCGAGGCGGCGAAGTTGTAGTGCGCAGTCAGGAAGCTGCGGACAACTTCGAGCTCGCTCTCAGAGTCGAACTGGACCAGATGTCCCCCAAGAGCCTGGCACTCTTCCTTAGCCTTGGCCCATGAGGCCTTTTTGGGTGAGTAGATGTAGCATGACGTCTGACCTAGACTTAGGATTCGGTTGGGCCAGTCAGCGGGGCAGTTGTCTGGAGAAAACATATTTTCATTAGATTTAGTTGTATGTCCAAGTCGGAAGCGATCATGATGCAAATCAATTTTGTAATAATAATTATGTCTACAATAATGAGCTAATAATAATAATATTCCGCATTTACAATGTCTCTAAGCGCTTTACAGTTATACTATTCCCCCGGTCATTGGATTCAGTGCTTGCCCGCACACACTGTGTGCACAATTTCCACCCCTGGGGAGCTTTCCAGCCAGGCGTTACATGACGCTCAAAAACTGTTTGACCAACAATGACGGTCGCACCCTATGATGATTATAGTCTCTCTCACCAGAGTACTTTTTAAAATCGTTTAACGATTCTGGCAAGGCTGCTATATATATGTACACATTAACAAAACAAAAAAGCGCCATCCAGTTGATCAATGTGTTGATACGAAAACGCAATAAAACTTTATTATATCTTACAAGCTCCGCACGATTCCACCAAAGAGAAGAGTGCCGAGGCCGCTTCTTTGTTGACAGTTTCCGTTCGAGAGAGGGCGATGTCACAGTTCGCCAACAGCACAACCGCGACGGTGATTGTTCCCCAAAGCATAGTGACGTATCTAATTTAAATTAATAATAATAGGTCCATTTATCAAAATGCAGCTACTATATTCATAATACTCCACTGCGTCTCTAGACACAGAAAAATTATCGTAACTATTGTGAGGGAAATGGACAACGATATATATATATATATATATATATATATATATATATAATTGAACCAAATCAGGAGGAATCTTAAATACGTCTTTAATATTACTCAAGTCTTTAAACTAATCACGTTTATTTTTCCTATTTAAGTTTAGAAGAGTGAGACTGGCCTGAAAATATGTCTTGACATAGATTAGAACATTTTAAAATGTATAGCCGTAGTAGCCTTGCCTATACAGTATCCAACAAAATGAAATACTCCCCTTACAGAAAGTTAAAAATTCTAAAGTACTAAAATCATTTACGTCTTACAGCAATGATAAGGTACACATTCTGTCATAATTGTATCGGAACAAAACATGCATTTCATTACACGGAGTATAGCATACTGAGGAGCAGTGGTGGCGATCCAGGAGGCCGGGGGTGCCGGGGGGGGGGGGGGGCGGGGTGGGGGGCAGGGGAGGCGCCCCCGGGAAAAAAATGTGTATTTTTACATTTTTTTGGAGATGCCCCCCCCCCCTTGGCGCTCAAAGGGGGGGGGGGGGGTGGGTGCAATTTTTTTAAATTTTCGAGGGCCCCCCAAAAAGATAGTGCTCACTACTCCCCTCGGGTATAATACGACTACGGACGATGCGACTGAAATATTAACGTGTGTGCAAAATACGCGAAACCGAAGCGTAAGCAGAACTTCGGTCTGTTTCGCGAACGCTAGCGCACACTGACTGTTTATCAAGTCCTTTCGTTTTCGTGCAGTTGTCCAAAAGAAGTCTTAGATGGCGTTAACCAGTATTTACCATGCTACATCCCCTTTAAAAGTCAACGCTGATAAGAGGAGCAGGGTGAAATCAAAGACATATTGGTTATCTCTACACTGATTACAACTAATTTTGCGATTTTAATCATAATGGTGACAATATAAATTATTCGCATTTGATAAACTGACATTTATTCCAACAAGTATATACGGCAAGAGTGTATACTCGCTTTTTTGGCTACTTTTCCACAATTATCATTCATGCGCTATAATACCATTCGAATGGCTTTAATATTTTGTACCTACACATATTATATCACAGAATGTCAACGTTATCATCACTTTATGATTTTGCTTTTTTAATACCACTCTACAAAAAGTTTTAGTAATATTCCAATTTTTGTTATCAACGGGTGTAGTCACTATTATTGGATACTATATATAACAATAATGATAATACAATATTGGATTTTATGTAGCGCATATATCCACTATGCAAGGTGCTCAAGGCGGCGCTCCAACATTATCCCAGCTCTGCTAGGCAGCCGATTACGTAGCTCACACCATTCAAAGAATTCCTTCCTACCGGTACCCATTTAACACCTGGTTGGAGAGGGGCAAATGCATATTGATATCTTGGCAAAGGAGATTGATGCCGTGGCGGGACTCGAACCACAAACAGTCCAGCGACGTTTCCACGAAACCTTTACAGCGCCACCTCTACTACGTACAATTATTGTAAAGAGGGATGATAGCAAAAAAATCGTTAAAAACTCACCTGTCCTGAGAGAAATGCTGTATAAGACGTTGAAGGGCTCAATCGTTGTGATGTCAAATGCTTCGATGTTTCACGGTTTTATAACCGGGAGGAAGATCAGAGGGTTTTATTTAATCACTTTACACCATCCTTTTCTCGATTACGATATAAATGGCTATGTTTACCTTCAGGATCGCGCCACCGGATTATATGCGTTATGAATATTGATTGGAAGAATTACTGATTTTTCAGCGTTATTTGATTTATTGATATTTCTAAGGCTGGGACGCGGGGTGATGGAAAGGCACGAACATTAATATCTACTAATTCAATAATAGATCCGTTCTCGCACCATCACTCATCATTAAAGTGACACCAGAAGGACAGGTAAAGAAATATATAGAGGGTGGGTAGAAAAATATAGATTGAGAGAGACAGAGAGAAAGAGAGAGAGAGAGAGATCGAAAAGAGGGGGAAGGTGCGAATACAACAATTTAAAACAAAACAAAGAGATTACATATTATGAAGCACGATTAAATAGAAGGGATGGAGAGACGATTGGGGGAAAGCAATAACGAATTCAAAAGAAAGTAGGAACGAAAAAAAAAAAGACCAACAAGAAAGAGATAGAAAGGGGGAATATAGAGAGGAGAATAGGTAGATAAGGAAAGATAACGATTTTTTATATTTTACATTATCATCATCATCGGTAGTAAAAGTAGTAGTAGAAGAAGTAGTATGAGTAACAGTAGCCCTACTAGTAGTTATAGCAGTAGTGCACTGTATTAGTAGTAGTGGTAGTAGTAGTAGTAGTAGTAGTAGTAGTAGTAGTAGTAGTAGTAGTAGTAATAGTAGTAGAACAAGTAATACATGTAGTAGCAGCAGAAGTAGTAGTATTAGTAGTAGTAAATAGTAGTAGTAGTAGTAGTAGTAGTAGTAGTAGTAACAGTAGTAGTAGTAGTAGTAGTAGTAGTAGTAGTAGTAGTAGAAGTAGTAGTATAGTAGCAGTGGCGGATCCAGGGGTGGGCCGAAACGGCCGCGGCCCCCCCCCCCCCCTATTGGCGGCGCACAAAATTGAGAAGGAAAAAAGAGGAAGAAAAAAAAAAGAAAAGAAAAGAGAGAGAGTTAAAAAAAAAAAAAGGGAAAGAAAAAGAAGAGAGGAGCCGGGGAGAAAGAAAGACAACGAAATGGCACTAAAAATTAGTGACATTAACGACGAATAAGGGAAAGACAAGGGGAAGGGGTGGGGTGTGTGAAGGCGGATGCATTGAGGGGAGGGGGGGAGGGATGACTGGTCGTATTCTTATTTTTAGGTTATGCGAAACTGAGTCGGAATTATGCTTCTTTTCAAAAAAATCTTAGCATGCTTGTTTATGTTAAGCCGTAGTGCATGAAAAGGTTGGTGTAGAAACACTTCTGAAAAGGCCGCGCCCGGCCCCTCCAAAGAACGGCAGAATGGTAATCTATAAATTCTGGGGTCATTCTTGATGGCTTGGGAGCCGTTATTGAAGAGGGGGCCGGCCCTACTCAAATGGTAGTGACGGTAACGATGGATAAGGGAATAACGAGGAAGGGATGCACATGCAGGCGCGTACGCAGGGGGGGGGGGGGGGGGGGGGGGGTCGAACCCCCCCCCCTCAAATTTTTGTCAAGTTGTCAAGTTGGTCCTGATGTGTATAATGCGTAGACCAGGGGTTCTCAAACTTTTTCTTTGACGGTCCAGAAGCGATTTCTATGAAAGCTGTAAGGTCCGAAATGACTCTTGTATACTTAAGATAATGAGGCTTGTTTTTGGTCTATATCTGATCCAAGGAGAATTGTTACAGTTTAAAAAAAAACAGAACCGCCAGTGCTTCCACTCGTTTAAATAGAGTTTCCTGAAAAATAACACCCAATATCCTGGAATTTGAAGGAATTTTCTTAAAACTTTCAAAATGCCTCTTACGTGGATTTCTTATTTGGATGAATCGCTGCACATGACGTTTTAATATATATTAATTATTGAGTGGGCTTATTTTGCTTTATAATGGATCCATACAACATGGCAGAGCTTGAGGGGCCTGGCAGAGCCTTTTCAAGAGAGAAAATTGTCTATAAGAGAGGAAGAGAGGTTATTTATAAAATGAAATGAAAGGGTTCTTGTCAAATAGCCCTTTCATTTCATTTTTTCTCTCGAAATAAACTCTCTTTCTCTCTTATAGACAATTTTATAAGATGGAATCTTCAATCTGAAGCCTTTTTGTGGTCTTTGAAAATGGCACACTGAATGGGGGCAGTGCAATTTAAATTTCAAGGGATGGATTAGAGTTTTTATCGCTCTTGAAGTCAAATAGCCCTTTCATTTCAGAAATAAGGATCTCTTTCTCTCTTATAGACAATTTTATGAGATGGAATCTTCAATCTGAAGCCTTTTTGTGCTCTTTGAAAATAGCACACTGAATGGGGGCAGTGCAATTTAAATTTCAAGGGATGGATTAGAGTTTTTATCGCTCTTGAAAGTCAAATAGCCCTTTCATTTCATTTTAGAAATAAATTCTAATACATCCCTTGATATTTAAATTGCGCTGCCCCTATTGTGTCCTCTTTTTAAAGAGCACAACAGAGCCCTCAGATTAGGCAGCAAGTAGCAAAACAAACCCGTAACACTGGACACAACATTCAATGGGATGATGCCCACTTCATTGAGTTTGAAACGCACTTCTGGTCAAGAACGGTAGAAGAAGCATCTGCATAAAAAGGATGAATCCTTCACTGAATAGGGATTCTTGCTATACACTTTTACCTTTGTGTAAATAATAAATGGTCCACGGGAGTGGTTGTTAGAAGCTTAAACTACATAAAACTCTCTCCAATTTTGCAGGGGGAGAGCCTTTGCCGGGAGTCTTTAATAATAAAAGGGATAAATCCTTCACTTAATAGGGACTCTTGCTATGTTACCTTTCTTCGCTCCAGTGATCTCGAGGCAGCAGACAGCAAGAAATTGTGTAAATAATTTTGCTGTTGCCGAGAGTCTTGCATGGGGCGGAGCCCTAGGAAGTTCTTGAACTTTAATTTTTTTAAGGAAATTCCAAATAGTCGTCATGAGCGATAGAAATTGTAATTTCTTCCTTGAGTGTCACATAGCCCCTTTCATTTCATTTTAGAAATAACCTCTCTTTCTCTCTTAAAGACAATTTCATATAACGTTTTTCGTATTGTTGTACTTTCGTCCGCAGACTACTTAAGCACATGTCGAGCCAACTAAGTCGGAAAGTTAAGTTTCATGTTCTTCCTTTTTTCTTTCTTTCTTTCTCTCTCTCCCTCTCTCTGTATCTCTCCTTTTCCTCTATCTTCTTCTTTTTTAAAAACATTATTCTTCGATCTTTTCTTCTCATTTTCTGTGTGTGACATGCGTTACGCGTACGTCCATGTCTTAATATGGTAGATTTACATTTTGATGTTTCCCTTTGTAGGTGCACCTTATATTCCAGAAAGTGCCCTATTTTGATGGTGCCCCCCCCCCCATGTATTGATCTTGATAAAAAATAACTTTCTCATTAATTCCATTTCCAATATATATAATACATGCACTAATCTCCAATTTAAAAAAAAAATCGTCTACTTTCTCTCAAGACAACATTATATAAAGGATTTATTAATGCAAGGCTATCTCGCGAGTAATCTCTCAATTTCTAACTTCCTGCTTTTCTCATCTCCCAGTCTCCCTTGCTTTAATATTCCTCGTTACTTCCTTCCAATTGTTCCAACTTAATTGATGTTATACACTGTAACTATTCTTCAACTACAGGTAGATGCAAATGTTACTCAAAATCCATTATATAAATCACACTCAGGATCCAGCCAATTGACGAGAATTGCTTCAATCTATACTTTACATGTATCATTAATATATGGTTTTACAATGGCTATGGTGATGAGTTGTCTAGGTAACAAGTTGATGTGTTTGTTAAAATGCATTACCATGGTGCACCTTCTTGGTTACAAAAAAAATATGTGTATGTATTAACGTAACTTCGTGCCTTTACATATCACAGTAGAAATCAATGTTTTCTATTTGATGCAGAACAGCCAATCGACGAGAATTGCTTCAATCTATATTTTACATGTATCATTAATATATGGTTTTACAATGGCTATGGTGATGAGTTGTCTAGGTAACATGTTGATGTGTTTGTTAAAATGTATTACCATGGTGCACCTTCTTGGTTACAAAAAATTATGTGTATGTATTAACGTAAGTTCGTGCCTTTACATATCACAGTAGAAATCAATGTTTTCTATTTGATGCAGAATAATATTGATATTTGGAGATATGAAACACAAACAGTTTCCATAACCGTTCAAGTCTTTCAAGAAAAAGTTAAGCAAATTTTCTCCTGGATGTAAATTCACACTAGCGTATAGCACTAGCGAGCTCTCCGATCCAGGCTAGACTCTTCGCGAGCGGTTTCATTGGAATTTTAAGCGGTTTCATTGGAATTAATCGAGAAATTCCCCTCGCTAGCGTGTAAATAAAAAATATGCCGGCCGGCCATACGTAAATGGCAGTGACGGCAACGATGGATTAGGAGGAAGGGGTGCATACGTGAACTGCAAGCGTATTGGGGATGATCATACTATCATTTTAGAGTGTGCAATCTGGGTCGGAATCCAGCATAATATATTTATAAAAAAGAGGTTCACATAAAAGCACTCATGATAAAGCCGCGCCCGGCCCCTACAACATCATTTTGGATTTTCAGATGATGGGGCGGGTGGCAGGGGTAGGGGGCAAAGTTCCCCCACTTTTTCAAGTACCCCCAAAGGGCCACTTTTACTCTGTAAAGAAGTGCCCCTTCCCTTTTTTAACTCGGATAAGCGCACATTTCATCAACACATGTGCCCCCTTTCCTATCTGATAAGGGCTATTTAGAAAAATGAGGCCCTTCATAAATAAAAAGTGTCCCTTTTCATCTCTGATAAATGACCATTTTCATATATGCGAAGTTAATTCTTTTCACTTCAGTGCGCTCTTCATCTCCGATAATTGCCCCTATTCAAATCTGAGAGATGCTCGTTTTACTTTGAAAAGTACCCCTTCCCCTCCTGATAAGTACTCTTTTCATCTATGATAGGTGCCTATTTTCACCTTTGCTAACTGCCCTTTTATTTTTAATCGTGCCCCTTTTCCTTTCCAATAAGGGACCTATCCCCTTTTCATAAATGCCCCTTTTCACCTCTGATAAACCAATTTCTGATGGATGCCCCTTTTCAGTCGACAAATGCCCATTTCCCATACTCATAAGTGCCCTATCTCATTTATGGTGAGTGCCTCCTTTCAGGTGTAAGAAGTGCCCCGTTTGAACCTTTGATAATTACTCTTTGTACCTTGACACATGCTCCTTTTCTTTTCTAATAAGTGTCTTTATCCACTTCGATAAGTGCCCCCTTAACCTCTCATCATCAGGCACGTAGCCACGGGGGGTACCTGCTCATCATTAGTCTTGCACCTTATTTAAAGCGACTAAGAGTACTTTCCCTAAAGCTCGCTCGCTCGCTAATTTTTCACTCTGCGACCTCACAGATCTTACATTTTTTCTCGCTCGCTTTGCTCGCTCGCAAATGAATATTCAGACAATCACACCCAGCC